CTATCCACTTGGTAGATCATGATTTATCCAGTGGATAGCGTTATCCACCTTTGGAACCAAAGTGAGGCCTGATGATTTCTAGCGAGTTTTTCCCTGATCCGCTACGGGATAAAACGCTGGGCAAAAATCGCACGTAGCATAAGGAATGATTTTGTTTGTTCTTTCTAATAAATTTCTCTCTCGATATCAAGTGCAATTAGGCTTCTCGCAGCAACCTCGCAGCTATCTTGTTGACTGGACTTCCCGTGACGCGTCCACTCGGTCCCAGTTCCACAGGATTGAACGCGTAAAAAGAAACAGTCTGGGGTCTGGGGCCAAGTGACACCACGAGGCTGCGAACAATTCAACATGGTGGGCAAATTTGTCGATTTGTTGTGCTTATATTTCCCTATCGAGGTGATCTTGCCTTCAGTCTCTTGATTATCTTCTTTCTCATTTTTTCCTTAGGTGTTGTATGTATTGTATGAACATGCTTCGGGTTATGCTGTCTTTAAAGTTGTTAGCCAAGAAGAGATCGGTGTTCTGTTACCTGAAGTGCAAGAAGCTGTCACTGATCTTTCTCGATTCGGAAAGTTAGTGAAACTAGCAGCATTTTCGCCGTTTAAGTCGGGAGCCAATGCTTTGGACAACATCAACTGCATATCAGAAGGTTTGTTGTCTTCATAGTTGGAAAGGGATTCAGTGGAAAACGCAGACTGCGGCTATAATTGTATGCAAATGAGTACTTGACAACATGGTCGTATTGTTTTCTAACCTTAGAAACCTTAGTCCGCAGTCAGTCCGCAGTCTTCATTTTACACTGCCCCGTTGGAAAGGTTATAGTTGCTGAAATTCGAATGATCAAAATGCAAATCATTGTGTTGAAATTTGCACTGTTTGATCTACATTTTTATGATCAATTTGTTAATTAACGCGAACCAATCGCCTATTACTTGAATTATGCACTCGCTTGGTCGTCCTTTATTCTAGGTAGAAAGCTATAGTAAGTAAAGCTGGCCACTTATATACAGGGCTATCAACCCCCTACTTCTTCGAATATAAGGCTGATTTAGCAACAGAACGGGAACGTCAGCTGACGACGGTGCATGCAAATCACACAACTGGCTTGAACAATGGCAGAGTGACAAATTGGGCACCTGAAGGCAAGTTTAGTCCTGTCCACGCACTTTCCTGTTGTCAAATGATGTCCCCATTCTGTTGCTAAATCAGCTTATTGAGAATTGTTGGGAAGGGATGATAGATGATGTCACAACGCATGGCACATGATGTCATTTGTGCAAAAAATACTCATTGGTTCTCTCCGCACAGGCCAAAACATTTGACCTGATTGGGTTACTTCCCACCAATCACGTTATTATGTGACAATGGCATACCGGCCGGTTTATGAGGAAACGTGTGATGTTAACATTAAAATAGCTCAAACAACGCAAAGTATTTGAATTTTATTGTCAGAAAGTCAAGGCTACTGAAGAAAGGGTAATCTTTGGCAATTATCCAGGAGATACAGTTCAAAAACTGGAGTCTCCCAGATTATCCTGGGGAGTGGACGGCACTGTATATACCCCCTCTTGGATGCATTGTAACAAAAGTTTTGTGAAAAATTGCCCAGACTGTAACATACACTGTTCAAAGTGATTTTGTCTTGCACTGTTTTCATTACAGCTGACATTTAATGAATCAAGATGCACTGATTGTTGCATCAATATGGGGACCAATAAGGGAGTTGTGGAAGGCTTACATGTGCAAATATCACCTGCTTCTGTGGGCTATATTGATGGTTATTTTCTGGCACAATACATCACAAGTCATTTGATTGTTAATTTTTATTGTTATTTAATTCCTATCAATTAGGTATCATTCACGATGATCTCAAGACGTTTCTGGAGGCAAATGTACCAACTGGCAAGAAGAAAAGCAAAGTTCTTCTTGGAGTGGGTGACTCGAAACTTGGTGCAGCCATTCAGGAAACAGTTGACATCCACTGTGAATCTGGTGGACTGGTACTTGAAGTTCTCAGAGGGATACGCTTTCATTTTGAGAAGATGATCAAGGGATTAACTGGGCCAATGGCAGCCAAAGCTCAGCTGGGCCTGGGGCACAGTTATTCCAGGGCAAAAGTGAAGTTTAATGTTCATCGCGTCGACAACATGATCATTCAGTCTATCAGCTTGCTGGATCAGCTTGACAAGGACATTAACACTTTTTCCATGAGAATAAGGTATATTCAGTACCTCTTTTTGTTTTGAGTTTGTCTTTTATGGTTAAACTGTTCAGCTTATCATGTGGAGCAAATTATGCAGGTACATCTTTCAGCAGAGGCACTCAGTGGATTTGTGCTCTATGACCAAATAAGTGTGCACCTCCGTTTTTGTAAATGTATATAATATTCATTTTACAAAAATACACACACCCGTAGTTAGCAAGAGCTACTTGATGATGTGGTGGCAAGCAGTGGCTACACAAAATATTTATGTAAATAAGAGAATATTAAATACTTTTAAGGACCAAAGGGAAAAAATAATTTAAGTATGTAATACATTAATGTACAACCAACATTATGACACTGTGAAGGGCAAACATAAAAAGCTGAGGTTTCATGGTTTTTTCTCTGTTAAATCAGGGACATCAATAACAATTTATTTTCTTGTGAAAGTCTGTGAAGTAAAATTTGGTGGATATTAGTTTCAACATTGTACAGTATTTGGACAGTGGAAGCATTTAATTTGGGCATGGTTGTTAATGAAAGCACTTGAAATATCATTGAAATGTTAATGTTGATCTAGTTTTGTTTTCTTATTTCATAACAGAGAATGGTACTCTTACCACTTCCCCGAGCTTGTTAAAATTGTTTCTGATAACTACATGTATGCAAAGACTGCTCAATACGTCAAGTCACGTAAGGATTTCACTGAAGACATGCTTGAAGGCCTAGAAGAGATAGTAATGGATTCAGCAAAAGCCAAGGCAATTTATGATGCTTCTAAATCGTCAATGGGTAAGTCAACTGCTAGTGTGTACGTTGCATGTTACAGGTTAAAATTAAATTCATGTAAAAAAAACTTTTAACCTAGGTTGATTATCAGTCTCCTTTGTCTCCTAGCCCTAATTATTCATGAATTACAGTAGGACTAGGAGACTAGCTATGGAAATCAAGAATCAACCTAGGTTAAAAAGTTTAACTTGAATTCAATTTTAACCTGTAACATGTACATGTAATAGTTTACACAATCACAGTGGGGTGTTGATGTCTTCTTATTCATGAGGGCTGTTGATTTCAATTGTGTGTTACACGTATCTCATTTGCATGAATATCCTGGCATATCTTAGAACTGTATCGCCTTAGTGATTCAAGGCAAAATTAAATTTGCATACAGCTTTCATTGGTTGGAAGAATAATGCAAATCGAGAGCAAGTGAATTTGGAACTAAAAAATATATTAAAGCTGTTTTCCTGAACATTACTTGCCATGATGAATAATATTGTTGTAGTAACAAGACTCTTTTCAAATCCCTGAACTTTTTACTTTGAGCTTTGAAGTCGATGTAATGCAGCATCTAATGCAGGTCTATTGTGAGCCATTCAATCACTGCTAGTTGTTGTTAACAAAATGGAATGTGAGCTGATTTTTTCAATATTTTATCTTATTGCTTCTACGTATTTTCTTTTTGGTTGTTGTTGTTTTTCTTTAAATAACCTTATAGGGGAAGCACAATTACTGGTAACCCAGAAATTTTTGTTGTGTCCCACAAATAAGGACAGAAACAAGTCATTTGAACATAAACATAACAAGGTTAAGAATCCCAACTTACTGGAGACAAACCAGTTGGCTATTTACAAGCGTGGCCAAGGATTGCACTTTCAGTGCTCTAACCACTCGGCAACGCTGCCTTCCCTTTTTTTAAACTCTAATGTTCCTGTCTGTTTCAAGTAGTTTCAGCCCTTTTATGTGTGTATACATTATAGTTTAAAAATTACAAAAAGACAAAGGATGTCACATGACCTGAAATGAGGAAACAAAGAGAGTAAAACATCTGTTAAGAGAAAATGAGTATCTACTTACACAGCTGCACTAGTCAAAGAACCTTTTTAAATAAATTCATTCCGGGCGATAATTTTTCTGAGTCATCCAACTTTCCTTTTTCTTGATGACTGACAAATTGATCTTATTATCTTTCCCCCCATAGGAATGGATATCTCACCAATTGATTTGATAAACATCCAGACCTTTGCATCACGAGTGATAGGCCTTGCCGAATACAGAAAAAGTCTCCATTCCTATTTGGTGTCTAAAATGAATCAAGTGGCCCCTAACTTGTCCGCTCTCATTGGAGAACAGGTATTTACAATTTTTCTGTCTTCATCAGTTAACAACTAGCCTGCATAGCATGGCAGTTTTGGTTGGGCACACTAAATAATAAAGGCAGGCAAGGGTAGAGCAGCCACGAGGAGATTGGGGTGGAAGCAACTTGAAAAACCAAGTATTTATGTTTCTCGTGGATTCACTGCTTGTTCGTTTTTGCGGCTTCACCACTCAGTCATGCTCCGGATGAAATCGCCATGCTAACAGGCGTATTAACAACTGCAACTAGTTTGTTACTTGCGCTCTCTCATCAGAGAACATTTTTGTGTTAAGAATTTTTTGTTAAGTGAACAAAAACTACTGTAACTTCTCTATTAAACCCCCCTCCCCTCTCAAATAAGTTTCCTCCCTTTAATAAGCCCCCCCTCCCCTTCCCTAATTATTCTTCACTAATAAATGATAGACTGTATTAATCCATCACCAACTGTAAAGCGTCGTGTGGACTGATCCGGGATGGTTTATTTACCAACGGAAAGCTCGGATTTGATTCTGATCCTCGGCTGCATGACCTTCAATCTTCTTGTACCTGAGCTTTTCCACTTTGTATCCTAGTTCTTTATGGAGAACTGATACCATCATCTTTTCTGAATTAAATAAGCCACCGTCTCTATTAAGCCTCCCCCCCCCTCCCCCCTCAAATGGGCTGGAAATAAATAAGCCCCCCAGGGGGGATTAATGGAGGATTTACGACATGATAACAACCGCAAGATGATTTGTTGGTCTCTTTTCTCCGTGACATGGTTCTGTATGCCATATACAATGGACGCTTGGCCAATCAAAACTTGGGCTCCCTACGCTAATCACCATGGTAAGAATATATCTGCATACTTGTGAATCAGATACTTGTACAGACTCTCCACCAAAATGCGGAGCTACTGATATCATTAAGCTCAATAATGATATTGGTAATGTTAATGGAGAGGATAATGACTAATCCAGCAATGTTCTTTATGTGTTAGGTTGGAGCACGGCTGATTTCCCATGCTGGTAGCTTGACAAACCTGGCAAAATATCCTGCTTCAACAGTTCAGATCTTGGGAGCTGAGAAAGCCCTCTTTAGGTAAGGTTTGCTGATAACTCGGGGGCACCCAACGAGAATATAGCTCAAAACCACTTAAACGTAACATTGTTGAACGTATTTTAGTATTTCAACGGTAGATATCTATAGGCATATTTTTATCGCCTAAAAATTTTCATCTGTTCGGATTTCCTAGCTGAAAGTCTAGTGATCCGAAAACTATAGGGATCAAAACTTACCTTTTCGAAAATTTCTGCCAGAAAAAAGGTTCCCGAAAATTCTAGGTGACCTTTTCAGGATAAAAATCCGTTAAAAATGGGCAATTACACCATTTTTTAGATGTTCGAAAATCCTAAGAGAGGCAGGCAAGCAAGAAATTTTTCAACAAATGATCCGAAAATTCTAGTTCTCAAATCGTCTTCCGAACAGATATTTTCCGAAAATTGACGTTGGGTGCCCCTGATAACTGCTTGGGTCAACAATGTTTTGATAAAGGTAGTTTGCGCTCCGGTGTGTAGTGAAGTAAACATGTTTTACCTTGAAGATCTAAGTTCCTAACCTGAAACAGAACTGAATTGCAAATATAATAGATCTTTATTTTTCTTGTTAAATGTCATGGCTGTGTTGCCGATTCAGCTCGCATAGTGATTCTCGCAACATCTTGGAAGATTTAGCAGAGACAACGCGACGACATTGTCGACGGCACGCGCAGGTCTATGATCTGGCTCTACCAGTGGCTGAGTGGCAAATTGAGCACCGGAAGTCGCGTTTAGGCCTTTCTGCACACTTTCCTGTTCTCGTTTGACGTTGAAAACGCGAGAAACGATTCGCGATTGATAACTAACTTTTGAATAGAACATTGTACTTTTTATGGATGGAGCAAAACGATTCGAAAACGTTAGTAAGGATGCAAGTGAACATAAGTGGATGGCTAGAAAAAAGAAACCAGATTTGCTGCAAATAACTCTGCAATTTTCTTGCTCTCTGCAGAGCTCTAAAGAAGAAAGGTAACACTCCAAAGTATGGCCTTATATTCCATTCATCGTTTATTGGCCGCGCTGGTACCAAGAACAAGGGCCGAATCTCAAGATACTTAGCAAATAAGTGCTCTATCGCCTCCAGGATCGATTGCTTCTCAGGTAACGTATTTATTGTACCAAGAACTTTGCTAGCAGATACATTAAATGCCGAAAACTGCAGGGCATAGGTCTTTTCTCTGTAACTTGCGTTATTATCAGTTGTACAATAAACTAGCGTGAGAAAACAGCTGACGTTTCGCAAAGACACCACTTGTTCCCCCGCGAAATGACATCAGTGAGGAACGAACGCAGAAATTCCGTTCTCAGATCTGAAATGAATTTCTTTTTTAATCGAAATGAACAGGAGCTTATGAGATGAAATGATTTGTAAATAGTGCTTTGACCGAATAGTTTTTTTTGCTTCAGCGAAATTAATTGTAAATAGGTACTATTATAATAGCAATAATAATAATAATAATTAGCAATTATTGGACGAGGTTGAGCAAAATATCTTGATTTGTCAGTGGCGAGCAGATTAATTATTTGCCGAAGCGGAAGGCTGAGGCAAATAATTGATCTGCGAGACACTGACAAATAACAATATTTTGCGATAACCGAGTTCAGTAACTGTTTTATCATTCGATCACCGAGTTTGTTTTTTTAATGAATATCCTCGGGAAGCGAAGCGATCTGCCATTTCCACGCAAGAGCGATCGCAAGAAGGAGGAAAGCACGGTTCCTTAACGCATATGCAGAATATTATTTGCAGCCAAACACTTAAAGCCAAACACAGTTGGACGGCATTGCGCTTGAGCAGATCATTATTTGTAGGCAGTTATTTGCAGGTCACGTGGTAGGCTCTCGGCCAATGAAAAGGAAGAAACATTTGCATCGATTGATAGTAATAATAATAATTATTCTTATTATTACTATTAGAGATATATATTATAGCAATAGATTTATATCTCGTCTAATGCATCAGCACCCTATCCGTATTATTAAAATCAGCGCATTGACAATTATTATTAATATGGCGAAGACTTTCTAAAAAAACTCGTTTCTTTCGCCACTTGGTGCTTTACAGCTCATCGTTTACGAAACAGTCAAAATCAATGAATTATCTTTCTTAGTTCCTTTAGAATCTTCTTAAACGATTGTGGGCCTTAAATGATGAAAGTATAATTTAATTTTACGTGGATTCAAGTGAATGTTGGAATTTGTGATTTTTCGTCATTGTACAGAAACGCAGTCGTGTGTATTCGGCCAGAAGCTGCATGAACAAGTGGAAGATAGATTGAAATTCTACGAGACTGGAGAGGCTCCACGAAAGAACATCGATGTGATGAAGGAAGCCATCGCCGAGTTCGAGGAAAAAAGTCAGGAAGCGAGCGAAGACATGGGCGAAAAGAAGAAAAAGAAGAAGAAAAAAAAGGAGAAAAAAGAAAAAGCTCAAACTGCTGAGGAAGAGCTGGAGAAAGATACGACAATGGAGGACTCCGCAGTCGTGGAAAATGGTCACGAGGAACCAGGGAGCAGCAAGAAGAAGAAGAAGAAAAAGGACAAAGGAGAGAAGAGAAAGGCAGAGGAGGAAACAGAAGAGGTGGAAGCTGAACCGGCCAAGAGTGAAGAAAGCAGTGAACCTGCTAAGAAAAAGAAGAAAAAGAAGAAGAGAACCGATGAGGAATAATTCATAATTGTTCTGTGAAGAAAATTGTAATAAACTGTTCGCGTTAGCCGCTGGTTATAATGATGCATTGTGGTGGAAAAGTGTTTTCTTTTCTTTGGTTCTATTTTTGTTAAGTGATGTTGCGCGGAAATAAAATGAAGAATGATCTACTTTTTGTCTTATACTGTAAATTAAAGGACAGTTCATGTTCAATGGCTTTTTTCTTGGTTTTGTTTGCTCATAGTCACGATAGTATATATGTGGCTGCGTATGACATGAAGGATTATGCAGATCGAAGAGGGTGTTATCCGCCGAAGACTGCAGTAATTTGTTTTATCTTATGAAAGTGTTGTATTATTCATTCAAGATATTTCCAAATTAAAACATGCTTACCTCCAGGTATTTCAAGTTAACGTCTTGAAAACATTTGCCTGTTTCTCGGCAAATTTTGAGACATTAGAGAGATTTAGAGTGAATTTTACGGCAAACGTCAGATTCGTGTTGAGAATTTCTCCAAATAGAAAAATGTGCAAATAAAAACATGAAAGGGTCAACTGGTCCTTACGGCAAGGCGATAAGGAAGTAAACAAAAGAATGAAAGAAAAAAATATTTATTTAAACAATTTTTGTTTTATTCTTTTTTGTTGTTGTTTTGTTCTGGTTTTATTCTTTTGTTTACTTCTTCATCGCCTTACCGTAAGGATCAGTTTGCCGTTCGTATTTTTCTTCAAGTTGTTATTGTACTGATACAGGTCTACAACTGGGAGATCCGGTACCACTCATTGGTTTGTCGCTGTGGACTCGCTGATATTTGATATATTTAGATAAAAACAGTCCAATTAATACTGTTGCGCACAAAACTAACGTGATGCTATTTATTTCGGAGAAGCCTGAATTTCATCCGATTGCTTCGAGTCGTTTTCTCCTGTCAACTGAGGGAGTAATAACGACACGAAGCAATCGGATGAAATTTAGGCTAGAAAACCTCGCGAGGTATACCCAGTTTCGAAAATTTTTTCCCGAAAGTTTTCTTTCCATTTAATATTGCTCCCGGAATTTGTAGAATTTCCGGTAGAATGGTTTGCATTTCAGAAATTCAACAGATTCCGAAATTCCTGTAAACTTTTCCGAGAAATTTCAGTACCATTTACCGCTGTTTCCAAATTTCGAAAGTTTTGGTTGAAAGTAAAGCGCCCTGGGTAACCTGTGGTCTGTCGGTTGAAATTTTGGGGCCACTTACATAACGTAACTTATGACTTGAGGTTCGTGCACCGTGCACGTTCTTTAGAGTTTTTATGTTTGGTCTTCTAAATCATCTTCGCCCACTATTTAACTCCAGTAAGTCCATCCTATCAAGGTTTAAGCACAGCATGCGTTTAGTTCAGTTTTTTGAAGATGGTAGACAGAGAGTTGGGGTTGAGATCCAAGATGGCGGAGATATAATGGATATCAGTGCTGGGGACCCTTCCATTCCTAGTGATATGAAGTCATTTTTGGAAGGAGGTGAAGGAATGATGTTGAAAGCTAAGAGGTTTGCATTGCATATTTGTTACGGGTCCCACCATCTCTTTTCTATATTTTAATAGTTAGGGGCAGCTACAGAAATATGAAGGGTCAAATAGTCCTTTTAGCTTGGATATTTTGTTTTCCCATTTCAGACAGATTTTGGGTCCTCCATGTTAGCTTATTGGTAATGGTAATAGGAATGAGTGGAATACAATTCGGTTTGTAATCATACGAGTGATTAACAGGGGGAGTCCGATTTGTTTTATAATCACTCGTATGATTACAGACCGAATGGGACTCCACTCAGCTCAGTCCTGTTACCAATTAATCATAACTATACCACAATTAATTTGTAATATTTAGACTTTTTTAAACTTAAAACACAAGAAAGTCCAAGAGGTTTTTTTGCTAGCAGTGAAAAAAGCCGTGTGTTGGCACTCGGTACCTTTCCACTCACTTGGGCATGACATGTACTGTCCTTTTACACTATTATTGCTGAAATCACGACAGTTGATAGCCAATCAGATTTGAAAATTTTGTTATGGTTATGATTAAGCTGTAAATGTGGGCTGTTAGAAACCAATCAGATTCAAGCATTTTGTTATTGACAGAACTAATCATGTAACTGTCAGAGGCCCCTTGCGGGGGGGCGGGGGGGGGGGGGGGGGTTGGGCCCATAGTTTTTTGGGTAGTCTAAATTTAAAACCCGGTTTTTTTGCATTTTGGGGGGGCCATCCCCCTTTGGGTTTTTTAAAATATTTTTCAAATGGTTCCCTCCGTTGCAGCGTTTTCAACACAATCTTCATTTCATTTGTTCCATTTTAAAAATTTTGCTTGCAGAGCTCTAAAGAAGAAAGGTAACACTCCAAAGTATGGCCTTATATTCCATTCATCGTTTATTGGCCGCGCTGGTACCAAGAACAAGGGCCGAATCTCAAGATACTTAGCAAATAAGTGCTCTATCGCATCCAGAATCGATTGCTTCTCAGGTAACGTATTTATTGTACCAAGACTTTTGCTAGCAGATACATTAAATTTCGAGAATTGCTCTCTTTAACTTGCGTTATTATCAGTTGTACAATAAACTAGCGTGAGAAAACAGCCGACGTTTCGCAAAGACACCACTGGGTCCTCGCGAAATGACATCAGTGAGGAAAGAACGCAGATCTCCTATACTGATGACGTGTCACTTCTCAGATCTGAAATGAATTTCTTGTTTAATCGAAATGAACAGGAGCCTATGAAATGGAATGATTTGTAAATAGTGCTTTGACGGAATAGTTTTTTTTTCTTCAGCGAAATTAATTGTTAATAGGTACTATCGTAATAGCAGTAATGATAATAATAATAATAATAATAATAATAATAATAATAATAATAATAATAATAGTTATAATAATAATTATTATTATTACTATTAGAGATTTAAATTTTAGCTGTAGATTTATACCTCGTCTAATGGATCAGCACCCTATCCGTCTTATTAAAATCAGGGCATTGACAATTACCATTCTTCTTCTTCTTCTTCTTCTTAATAATATGGCGAGGACTTTCTCAAAAACCCGTTTCTTTTGCCACTTGGTGCTTTACAGCTCGTCGTTTACGAAAACAGTCAAAATCAATGAATTATCTTTCTTAGTTTCCTTAAAAGCTTCTTAAACGATTCTGGGCCTTAAATGATGAAAGCATAATTTTGTGTGGATTCAAGTGAATGTTGGAATTTGTGATTTTTCGTCATTGTACAGAAACGCAGTCGTGTGTATTCGGCCAGAAGCTGCATGAACAAGTGGAAGATAGACTGAAATTCTACGAGACTGGAGAGGCTCCGCGAAAGAACATCGATGTGATGAAGGAAGCCATCGCCGAGTTCGAGGAAAAAAGTCAGGAAGCGAGCGAAGACATGGGCGAAAAGAAGAAAAAGAAGAAGAAAAAAAAGGAGAAAAAAGAAAAAGCTGAAGCTGCAGAGGAAGAGCTGGAGAAAGATACGACAATGGAGGACTCCGCAGTCGTGGAAAATGGTCACGAGGAACCAGGGAGCAGCAAGAAGAAGAAGAAGAAAAAGGGCAAAGGAGAGAAGAGAAAGGCAGAGGAAGAAACAGAAGAGGTGGAAGCTGAACCGGCCAAGAGTGAAGAAAGCGGTGAACCTGTTAAGAAAAAGAAGAAAAAGAAGAAGAGAACCGATGAGGAATAATTCATAATTGTTCTGTGAAGAAAATTGTAATAAACTGTTCGCGTTAGCCGCTTGTTATAATGATGCATTGTGATGGAAAAGTGTTTTTTTCTCTTTGGTCCTGTTTTTGCTAAGTGATGTTTCGCCGAAGTGAAGTGGAGAATGATCTACTCTTTGTCTTATACTGTAAATTAAAAGACAGTTTATGTTCAACGTTTTTTTTCTTGGTTTTGTTTGCTCATAGTCACGATAGTATATTTTTAAAGGCTTCATGGTATTATCCAAATTATTATTGAATGTGGCTGCGTATGACATGAAGGATTATGCAGATCGAAGAGGGTGTTATCCGCCGAAGACTGCAGTAATTTGTTTTATCCTATGAAAGTGTTGTATTTTTAATTCAAGATATTTCCAAATTAAAACATCCTTACCTCCAGGTATTTCAAGTTAACGTCTTGAAATCATTTGCCTGTTTCTCGGCAAATTTTGAGATATTAGAGAGATTTAGAGTGACTTTTACGGCAAACGTCAGATTCATGTTGAGAATTTCTCAAAATAGAAAAATGTGCAGATAAAAACATGAAACGGTAAACTGATCCTTACGGCAAGGCGATAAGGAAGTTGTTTTGTTGTTTTGTTCTGGTTTTATTCTTTTGTTTACTTCTTCATCGCCTTACCGTAAGGATCAGTTTGCCGTTCGTATTTTTTTTCAAGTTGTCATTGTACTGATACAGGTCTACAACTGGGAGATCCAGTACCACTCATTGGTTTGTGGCTGTGGACTTGCTGATATTTTATATATTTAGATGAAAACAGTCCAATTAATATTGTTATGCACAAAACTAACGTGATGCTATTCATTTCGGAGTAGCCTGAATTTCATCCGATTGCTTCAAGTCGTTTTCTCCTCTCAACTGAGGGAGTAATAACGACTCCAAGTAATCGGATGAAATTCAGGCTAGAAAACCTCGTGAGGTATACCCAGTGTCGAAAATTTTTTCCCAAAAGTTCTCTTTCCATTGAAGATTGCTCCCGGAATTTGTAGAATTTCCGGTAGAGTGGTTTGTATTTCGGAAATTCAACAGATTCCGGAATTTCTGGAAACTTTTCCGAGAATTTTCTGTACCATTCACCGCCGTTTCCAAATTTTCGAAAGTTTTGGTTGAAAGTAAAGCGCCCTGGGTAACCTGTGGTCTGTCGGTTGAAATTTTGGCGCCACTTACATAACGTAACTTATGACTTGAGGTTCGTACCTCGTGCAACGTGCTAGAGTCTCTTTTAGAGTTCTTATGTTTGGTCTTCTAAATCATCTTCGCCCACTATTTAACTCCAGTAAGTCAATCCTATCAAGGTTTAAGCACAGCATGCGTTTAGTTCAGTTCTTTGAAGATGGAAGACAGAGAGTTGGGGTTGAGATCCAAAATGGCGGAGATATAATGGATATCAGTGCTGGGGACCCTTCCATTCCTAGTGATATGAAGTCATTTTTGGAAGGAGGAGAAGGAATGATGTTGAAAGCTAAGAGGTTTGCATTGCATTTTTGTTACGGGTCCCATCATTTCTTTTCCATATTTTAATAGTTAGGGGCAGCTACAGAAATATGAAGGGTCAAATAGTCCTTTTAGCATGGATATTTTGTTTTCCCATTTCAGACAGATTTTGGGTCCTCCATGTTAGCTTATTGGTAATGGTAATAGGACTGAGTGGAATACAATTCGGTTTGTAATCATACCAGTGATTAACAGGGGGAGTCCGATTTGTTTTATAATCACTCGTATGATTACAGACCAAATTGGACTCCACTCAGCTCAGCCCTGTTACCAATTAATCATAACTATACCACAATTAATTTGTAATATTTAGGATTTTAAACTTAAAACACAAGAAAGTCCAAGAGGTTTTTTGCTAGCAGTGAAAAAAGCCGTGTGTTGGCACTCGGTACCTTTCCACTTACTTAGGCATGACATGTACTGTCCTTTACACTGTCCTATTATTGCTGAAATCACGACAGTTGATAGCCAATCAGATTTGAAAATTCTGTTATGGTTATGATTAAGCTGTAAATGTGGGCTGTTAAAAACCAATCAGATTCAAGCATTTTGTTATTGACAGAACTAAACATGTAACTGTCAGAGGCCCCCTTGCGGGGGAGGGGGGCGTATGTCCATAGTCTTCTGCGTAGTCTGAATTTCAAAACCGTTTGTTTTGCATATTGAGGAGGCCATGCTCCTTTCGGTATTTTACAATATTATTGCAATGGTTCACGTCGTTGCAGCAGTTTCAACACCATCTTCATGTCATTTGTTGCCATTTTAAAATTTTGCCTGTCAAAGTGTTACCCTAACTTGGGTTTGTTATATTCTTCATCTTTTCTTCTTTTTATTCCAAGTTTGTTCTAAGCATGTTACATGAATGATTTCAGTGTTGTTGATCATGGTCAGCATATTCTGAAGAGAGCAGAAGTAAAGCTGAAGGCTCCAATTCACAACCCTGGAAAAATTATTTGCATCGGAATGAACTACGTGGACCACTGCCTTGAACAGAATGTTCCAACACCCACAGAACCCATCCTTTTCAGCAAGTTTAATAATGCAATTACTGATCCGGGAGCACCGATCATTTATCCCGATGAAACAGAGGTTTGCATAACACTTTGGTTTAGTTCCTTTTTGATATTAAAAATAATGAAAGATTTGCCCTGGTGAGTTCTTTATTTCAAAAATTTAACACACAAGATGCATACCAATTTATTTGGCCATATTTTGTTTAATTTCAAGAATTTTATTTTGGTTTCTTTCTCACAGGAATTAGACTTTGAAGTAGAACTTGCTTTTGTAATTGGGAAACCAGGAAAGAATATTAAGGTATTTTGTTCAAGGCAATTATAGTTGATTTACTTGTGGTTTTTATCATGTAGAGTCGTGTATGATGCCAGCTTAAGATACGTGTATACTATTTGCTTCCTTGTCAGCATATTCTAATAAGGGTACATTTCTTCAGGAAAAGTGGAAACAAAATAATGGCCTAGTTCAGTTATTCAAGACTATATTTAGGCACTGAAACTGTTTTCTGTCATCTGTTGCAAAGGAAAAGTTGGGCCAAAATTTTCAAGTTTTAATGCTGTGCCTGCAAAAATCAACAAATTATGGGTAGTGCTCCATGATAAAATGTTTTTGATATGTACTTCATAACTATACAGGTGGAGCATTTTGTGTATGGGTAACTAACTTATATAGGCACTAATACTAGTAATATACTGAAGGTTACGGAGTGCGGGTGACAACGAAAGGTCAAAACGCTTTTGCTCTAGTGCTGTGCTTTGTGTAAGTTTCTTATCACAGATGGTCAAAACACATGTGATTAGATATGAAAGTACATTCTGTGAATTCCATACATTCTTAGTGGAAGTCCAAACGAATGCTGGCTATGAGACACATGCGTAATAACAACCTGGAGATTAGGATTGCGGGCTCCTCTTGTCGCCTGCAGTAAACAATGACTTCAGCTCAGAATTGACCCAAAACAGCGATATCATCATGACATGTAGCTGCTTTAAGAGCTCAGAGGTGATTGTTGTTTACCCATAATTTAAAAATTAACATTATATTTCTCAGAAAAGTGAAGCCATGGACCATGTGGCTGGGTACACTGTGGCACATGATGTTAGTGCTCGGGATTGGCAGCTAAAGAAAAATGGTGGACAATGGTTGTTAGGAAAAACGTTTGACTCATTTTGTCCACTTGGTCCAGCCATAGTCACCAAAGACTCGCTGTCAGGTAATGAGTGTGACAAGAAGATGAGAAAAGAAGATGGTTAGAGCTGTGAAAGGGGAGAAAGATAGTAATATTATTTTATAACAAACTAAGCAGCAGGTTGGACATGAAGACAGCAATAATTTATTAAGAATTTAGTTTTCTTGTTCTGGATGCAGCTGGGAACTGAAGTGCAGTGGGTAATCCCACTTTATTGTCACTTTTGAATTCACCAGGGTTAGGCCAAACTAGACTGCAAAACAGTTTGTTTGTCTCTTTGACCTACTATGTTATATGAGGGGGACATTGGAGGGTACCCAATACCGTGATACCGTAAGAATGCCAAACACTGAATGCAGAACACCTAATGACTCTAATTAGGTTAGTGATTAGGGTTAGGAAGCTGAGTGAATCAAGTTTTAGGTCAGTTTTCCCATTTTAATGTCCCTAAATGGATCCTGATTCACTCAGATTCCTAACCTTAATCACTAAAGTTCAGAGTCATTGCAGAGATGCCAACCTCTGGAGACCTCCAATCGGGAGACTGTCTTTTTTTCACTACCCCCCCCCTTGTGATTAGATATGAAAGTACATTCTGTGAATTCCATACATTCTTAGTGGAAGTCCAAACGAATGCTGGCTATGAGACACATGCGTAATAACAACCTGGAGATTAGGGTTGCGGGCTCCTCTTGTCGCCTGCAGTAAATAATGACTTCAGCTCAGAATTGACCTAAAACAGTGATATCATCATGACATGTAGCTGCTTTAAGAGATCAGAGGTGATTGTTGTTTACCCATAATTTAAAAATTAACTCCTTTATTCTGTTTCTAAAACCTTGATTATATTTCTCAGAAAAGTGAAGCCATGGACCATGTGGCTGGGTACACTGTGGCACATGATGTTAGTGCTCGGGATTGGCAGCTAAAGAAAAATGGTGGACAGTGGTTGTTAGGAAAAACGTTTGACTCATTTTGTCCACTTGGTCCAGCCATAGTCACCAAAGACTCGCTGTCAGGTAATAAGTGTGACAAGAAGATGAGAAAAGAAGATGGTTAGAGCTGTGAAAGGAAAGAAAGATAATAATTTTATAACAAACTAAGCAGCAGGTTGGACATGAAGACAGCAATAATTTATTAAGAATTTAGTTTTCTTGTTCTGGATGTAGCTGGGAACTGAAGTGCAGTGGGTAATCCCACTTTATTGTTACTTTTGGATTCACCAGGGTTAGGCCAAACTAGACTGCAAAACAGTTTGTTTGTCTCTTTGACCTACTATGTTATATGAGGGGGACATTGGGGGGTACCCAATACCGTGATACCGTAAGAATGCCAAACACTGAATGCAGAACACCTAATGACTCTAAAGGTTAGTGATTAGGGTTAGAAAGCGGAGTGAATCAAGTTTTAGGTCAGTTTTCCCATTTTAATGTCCCTAAATGGAACCTGATTCACTCAGTTTCCTAACCTTAATCACTAAAGGTCAGAGTCATTGGGTGTTTTGCTTTGGGCGTTAAGAGAATGCAGAATGCCGAATGATTCTGAAATTTAGTGATTAGGGTTAGGAAACTGTGTGAATTAAGTTTCAGGTCAGTTTTTCTTAGTATAATGTTCCTAAATGGAACCTGATTCACTCAGTTTCCTTAGAAACCCTAATCACTAAACTCAGAGTCATTTGGCATTCTGCATTCAGCATCCTGTAAAATACCCCTGCCACTAATGCAAAGGTAAACCAGAAATAATGCAGCCCCAAAAGGATTAACTTTAATACCGGTACTTTAGGTTATCTCCATTATATAATAGTGTACATATTATAATAAATTAAGACTTCAAAGTTAATTACCGGTTCTAACAATGTATTATGATGTGATGTTTGTCTTGACAGTGCATTTTTATTTTTCAGATCCTCACAAACTGGGAATTCGTTGTCGTGTTAATGGAAAAGTCATGCAAGACTCAAACACTGAGAATTTAGTATTTAAAACAGAAGAATTAGTTTCTTATATATCAAGGTGAGAGTTCATCAAGCCTTATCACAGGAAATTTTTATTGGTCTACACAGGTTGTGAAGACAGACAAGGTTTTCATTTGCTTTTATACGTGAAAATGTGGGTGGTTAAAAATTGCTCTTCTTTGTTTAGAAGTGCTGAAAATCTATGACCAATACCCACGAAACTTAATAGTGGAGCTCCATGCGTACAAAGCGCGCGAGTGGAGCCCCATAGTTAAGAAAATTTGGTAATCTATCCATCTGAGAAAATGTTGTTATGACATCAGCATACGACCAAACGCTGACCATACAGACTCTAGGGGAGGGGGAGGGGAGTAAGGCATCAGCCTGTCGGGGGAGGAGCATGTTAAAGCTGAGGTGAATTTTTTGCATTTCAAGCACCCCACTCATTTTGGCATTAAATCACATGGTCACGCGGACTTTGTTTTAAAAAAAAGGAGTCTTTCATTCCACTAAATTTTAATGTCTACATTAACTTGGATAACAGGGAAAGAGCTAGAGTGAGAAATAAATAATAGAGACCAATTATCTTCGTTGGAAGAAAAACATGAAAATTAGATAGCAGCGGCAAGAGTGTACTGCACATGCAAAGTTGTGTTATTGCTAACTGGAAATAAAAGTGCACTGAATGTGCAAAGTTTGTTTTTTGCTTATTAGATCTACCTGTTGTTGTTTTTGTATACCCTTCTTGTTGTTTTCACCTTGTCTACGGTATTACTCAATTTTATATTTTATTTGAGGAAACTATCAATATTAAAGAGAGCTTCTCTTTTAGCCGTGCATGTGGCTAAATCTATATATTTAACTTGTCCTCAAATTTACTGCAAAGAGTTTGTTGTGAAAGATGATTGTTCATCACACACTTGAATGTTGAAAACCTTAACCATCTTAAATGGTGTTTATCAAAATTTATTGGCACTTAATACCTCATTAAAATTAAAAACTGATGACTAAACTTTAATATTGTTTTAGTAGAAATGTTGTGGAGTAAATTCTGGAAATCAGGTTTATTTTAGCATCTTCTGGTGATTTGGGTATTAAATTATTAATGTCACCCCCTTTCGCCCTCCCACCCCTGTCCCCATGTGAATGCTCTGTGCCTCCCTTTGAGAATACAGTGAAACCCTGCCTTCTGGCCACCTCGGTAATACGGTCACCTCGTTACTACGGCCGCTTTTTTTGGCCACCTGGTAAAAAACTGTCATACATTTTCTTGTAAAAAAACCCTCGTTAATATGGCCAAATGTTTTTGGCCCATTGGTGACCGTATTAACAGAGTTCAGCTGTAACTGTAAACCGTGATGGAGTACCAGCATGTTCTGTTGATCCTGCAGGTTTGTTACCCTGTCACCAGNTTTGAGGAAACTATCAATATTAAAGAGAGCTTCTCTTTTAGCCGTGCATGTGGCTAAATCTATATATTTAACTTGTCCTCAAATTTACTGCAAAGAGTTTGTTGTGAAAGATGATTGTTCATCACACACTTGAATGTTGAAAACCTTAACCATCTTAAATGGTGTTTATCAAAATTTATTGGCACTTAATACCTCATTAAAATTAAAAACTGATGACTAAACTTTAATATTGTTTTAGTAGAAATGTTGTGGAGTAAATTCTGGAAATCAGGTTTATTTTAGCATCTTCTGGCGATTTGGGTATTAAATTATTAATGTCACCCCCTTTCGTCCTCCCACCCCTGTCCCCATGTGAATACTCTGTGCCTCCCTTTGAGAATACAGTGAAACCCTGCCTTCTGGCCACCTCGGTAATACGGTCACCTCGTTATTACGGCCGCTTTTTTTGGCCACCTGGTAAAAAACTGTCATACATTTTCTTGTAAAAAAACCCTTGTTAATACGGCCAAATGTTTTAGGCCCATTGGTGACCGTATTAACAGAGTTCAGCTGTAACTGTAAACCGTGATGGAGTACCAGCATGTTCTGTTGATCCTGCAGGTTTGTTACCCTGTCACCAGGTGATGTAGTTATTACAGGAACTCCACCAGGGGTTGGAGTTTTTAGAAAGCCCCCTGTCTTTCTCAAGGTATGTACTCTTTCTCCTGTATCTTTTTTTCGTGACAGGAAAGTTGTGGCTTGCCTTTTAACAGCCATCATACATACAGCTATGAAGAACAGGAGTCAGATTGTTCAAAATTTAATAAAAATAGGATTATAACTTAACATGTTAAACAAAGACTAGGGAATTTCTCTGTTTTGATAAGTTGGTGGTGATGACATTCACCCCTGCAAAATCAACCATGTGTCCCAAAATCTGTTTAATCTAACACAGTTTTACTTCAATCTGAATCTGAAGTGCACTCTACCAAGTCAAACACACCAATAACAATAATATTTTGTTTGTTTCTTTGCTTTCAGAGGGGTGATGTAGTTGAATGTGAAATTGATGAAATAGGCTGCATTTCAAACACAGTCCAGTAAAAGGGATATTAATTAATATATAGTTATTATAATTATATTAATAACAGTCCTGAGCACTGATCTTCATGGATTGTCGCAGAGAGTATGTAATCCAGACCCCCTTTTCAAACATCAGATAACTAACTCATTACCGTAGGCATTTAGCAGTTCAGTAATTTTTTGGGAAAATCAAGAAACAAACTGTGAATTAAGACACAAGACTCTTCAAATCCTCTGCATTCAGAAAGAGTGTGCATTAAAATCACTGTCACAAGTACGTAATAAGACCCTTCATCAATACAGTCCAATCTATTTGTACAGTGAAACCTGCATTAAGGAGGCAACCTCACTATAAAGCAGACTATAGCACCTGACTCAAAGAGCTCCAAATGTTTGTTCCCATATTTTCTGCATTGAACAGTACTAGTATAACTCCCATGGGTGTCTGCTGAAATTATGTTGGTTTTACTATATCCATAGTTCTTGTTTTGTTGTGTCCCAGTATAGAGTTAGAGTTTTGCGTGAAGTGAATTAAAGTATGTTTTATCATCACCTTGTTTCAAAACGTTTCTGGATAACCACAGGCCAATCCATTCTTGTACAACAGTAAATTAAAAAGGCCTATGCAATCTGGTACGATTGGTTATGACCAGGATGTAATGCTAATGCACCCTTGTATATCTCAGTTTTGCTACTCGCTGCAATGTTATGAATGTAGTAATTCAACTTTTCTTGTTTTAGAAGCTATAGTTGCCAATAACCAATGTGTTCTTGTCATAGCTTTTATTCTGTTTTGGAATTTAAGACTGAGGTTAATATGCTTGTGTAAATGTAACCAGTTGAAAAAATCTGACAAGTCTCTAATTACCACCACATAATCTGATATGGGCAACAGATTAATAAGTGAATGTAGTAAATTATGAGAACACGCAAAAATTTTTTTTTTCCTTTATTTTTTAATTGCCACTTGGACTACAGTCATACAATGTAGAATTGCTCCCAAAAAATATGTATAGTAAACCTTATTATTTTGTTCAGTCTTGTGACCTGTACTTAATCTGCAAAAGCTCATAGAAGCATTATTTAGTAGCCACGCCCTGTTTATTAATAGAAACAATGATCAAAAGAATGTCCTACAATAAATTATTACCAAACTCCTGTCAATAATATAATTTTTATTCCTTTTTTTTTATTGTTCTTTTCTTAACTGCAAAATTTTTGTGTGTCATTGTCATAAATAATCTCTTCAATTCAATAGAAAATACTTATTATAAAAGGGTAGCCCATCTTATTCATCTACTCTCTGAATATGAATGTAATCTTAACAAAACTACCCTTACTTGTAATCTGACGAAACTCCTTACCCTTGTTACCAAAAAAAAGAAAAAGAAACACCTACAGTTGCGAAAAACTTTCTATAGTACCCAGTGGCCTGTTTAATTTTAAAGTGAATTCAGTTACTTCAAAAGACCCTTTGTTTAGCAATGGTCTTTCAAGAAGTGTGAAACCATGGCAACCAATGGAGCTCCAGTTGGCACGAGAGGAAAATCACCACTTGATCCACCAATGTCAAAATGGGAGTAGCGAATGGGTTTGGTGGAGTCAGTACCATGCTAAAATAATAAATTAAATATTTCATATTTCAGTTCTGGCTACTGTTCCTCTGGCCTATTTTTCCAAGATTGTTTGCAAGGTGAAGCAGCTTACAGCTGTAAATTTAGCCTAAGTAGTAGGCCTTCGTTAGGGGTTGGGGCAAGGGGGGAGGGGGGAGATTTCCCCCAGATACACCTGATACTTGGGTGACTTTAAATCTTGTTTTCATAATATTATGGTGAGTGACATCCTGGGCGTGTAAAACATTACCTGTATGTGGGTCAGTGGGGGTTTTCTCTGCTTCTTTAACCCCATCAACACTGTAATAAGCTAAGCTTTTAGTTGTTTTTCTCCCCTCTGCCACAATTCAGAAAACATTAAACAGCAAGCTCTTTTTAGCACCCAGGATCGAGGAGGCACTAACTTGAGTTAAGGTGCTTATTTTACTGTGTGGTACGAGAAAATATCCATATCCGCACCCCACCCTAGACTTTCTTTGGGCCTCAGGAATTTTAAACATGTGTGACAGAGCCCTAAAAAGGTCTGCATGGGAGACTAACAAGCCCTTGGAGGGTCGGCATGTCTTGCGAAGTACACTGAAACACTTCCATTTGGCACTCCATTATTACATTATTCATCAAATACAGTTAAAATGTTTTAATAACCTTGTCCAATCCAGATGCTCTTATAAGAAAGGCGGCAGGAAACTGATGCCCACGTGGAGTCCCACTGGATGGTACATTGTTACACTGCAACACATCTGCATATTCTGACTTGGCATTTGTAAACTCATAGTCCTAAAAAAATGGTCAACAAAATTAATCATTTCAATTGCTCATCAAGTAGAATGAGGAAAGCAGAAGATGTAATTTAATGTTGCTGCTGTCTAAATGATCAAAGATGACAAGCTTTACAGGTTCATTATAATTTTTTTATTATAACAGTCAAACCCCCACTTTATGGACACCTACCTAATATGGACACCTCATTATTATTAAGCACAGTTAATGCTTTCTCCTTAGGGAAAGAAAGTCCTTACATTTTCTGCAAATTCAGCTCGCTTTATGCGGACAGTTCTATGACCCACTCAGTGTCCATTAGCAGGGTTTTGCTGTACAACATTAGACCAAAACACCTGTTTGTAAGTTCATAATGCCTGTTCCAGCAGGCTCCAAGGAAAGGTGATTGAGAACTGTGGGGGCTGGGGAGAGATGGAATTGTGGAGCTTGCAAGCATTGTTTTCAATACCTCATTCTAGTATACCAACTCCTGGTATACCCTATGATTGGTTTACACTTTACACAAGAGTCTAACAAACACGTTGAGCATGTGAAACCCTCCTTAAGATGGCTCAACTGGATTTCTTGGGGGGATACCTCCCAAGTCTAAGCATTAACTACGTCGGCATGAGTAAAGATATATGGAAAAAGGCTACCACAACTGTATTATATAAAGATGAAAATTTCTTATGATCTGGGTTTAATTGCAATTGGAGTCGCCATGGCAACATAACGATGCCATTACGTTTTTTATTTATCTTTGAGTTTCTCTGTTACTGTACCAGGAGTTTTTTTTTTTAAGAAACTGCTTATTAAAGGGAGCATGAACCTGCCATTGCCTCAATTATGGCAAAGTTTGAACAAATTCTATGAGAACGTTTTCAGAATATTTTAAAACGAAGTTCTAAGAATCATTAAAATAGTGAAATAGCTTGCTATCCACACAATTAGCTAATATTTCAAGAAAATGATAAGCTTTGGAAACGCGGCTTCATCTCATAGTAGTTTGATTCACATTGAAAACTGTGTACAAAAAAAGAGGGGAATTGCTCTGGGCGATTGTGAGTAAGAAGAATTCTATTAACTTACATTCAGCTGCTTTTGTTACAGTTTTTTCACATAATTTGGTCCATGCCTACAAATTTCGAATTCTTCAAAAAAACCACTTGATAAATTTTTTTTTTATAATTTAATAATTCTGAGATCAATTGTCAATAAAAATACCCTGCAAGTTTCAAGAACATTGAAAACAGGGAAGGCTTTTAAATAGGGCCTCAAATATAACCAATTCTCCCACCAGATTAATTTTTGTTGTTTACATGTGAGCGTCCTCATTATTCACTAGCATTTTGTTTTCAAGTTTCATATGCATGTGCACAAGCAAAAAGATAAAATTTGCATCAAAAAGGACCCTGATCGGTTAAATCTCTGGAATATACTATTGACTGGGTAAAGAAATTAGTGATATATTATGACATCACAGCAACTCTTTGTAAGAGTTTCAGTGATGTTATAACCTGAGTAAGATAATTAAGTATTGCATCCTACACGATGAGTCGAACGTCTATAATTTTTGCCAGAGATTTAGATGCTGTTATTATTTTAAGTAGGATGTTTGTCATAGCAAGGGCTACGCGAGGTAAAAGTTGACTGTATTTAAAATTGTGGCTTCCTGTTGCAGAAAAATTTAATTATTGTATGTTATTAGCCTTTAAGTGACATGATTATTAAGTAATATATAATCACCTCTCTGCGGAGTGTTGATACCTCAAAGGGGTCACCCATGTCATGCCCAGCTAACAAACAAAATTTAATACATCAACAGTTTCAAGGACATTTCAAGATTAGATCAAAAATTGAGATGAGAACAAACAAGCTTTAAATAATTTTTTATTGATTTTCTTTATTTTGAAAAGGAGGCAAAAAGGTTTTGAGAGGATTATGTCATGACCACTCTGGTTCCCTGCCAGGCACTTTGAACCAGGCATCAACAAAACCTGGAGGGTTACAGGGGTTGATGATCCAGGTTTTTTTCAAAGCCAGTGTGAGTTGCAAACTAGACTCAGAATGATATTCAGCTTGGTAATTTGCACTGCAATTTATTGAAATGTAATAACCTGCAACATAAGTGCATTTGGCAGTGGGGGGACGGCTCAACTTAATGGTGCTAAATTTAAAGCTCTGAGACATTAAGACAAAAATAATTTTTATTAATTTTCAAGATCCCGACATACCTTCCTGGATCTTCTGACTAAACTTCATTTTAGCTGCAGGCCCGTTGTCAACAACAATCTATTAAACAAAGTAAAGGATGCTTTAATTAATAACGTTATTACATGTATGGTTCCAGGGAAGCAGGTGTGCATTATAAATGACAAAGTAAGTTAGAGTTGTGACTCACAGTAGTTAAATGGAGAATAACAAGAAATATAGTTTGATTATAATGTAAACAAGGCCAGGTGAACAAAACTATTATTTTAAGTAATTTAATAGATTGGAAAATTCGTAATAATTGATTAGACAGACATGGTGAATTCAGGGCTTCTGATATTTCGTGAGGTCACGGAGTCATGAAATTCAGGTCAATCCACGAAATCCCGTGAAATTCACAAAACCCACAAATAGCATAAAATTTGCCAGTAATCTTATCAAATACATATCTGTACAACATATTTTGAAACTTTACTTGCAAGTTTACTTGCTGTAAACTTGCAAANTTAAATAATTTTTTATTGATTTTCTTTATTTTGAAAAGGAGGCAAAAAGGTTTTGAGAGGATTATGTCATGACCACTCTGGTTCCCTGCCAGGCACTTTGAACCAGGCATCAACAAAACCTGGAGGGTTACAGGGGTTGATGATCCAGGTTTTTTTCAAAGCCAGTGTGAGTTGCAAACTAGACTCAGAATGATATTCAGCTTGGTAATTTGCACTGCAATTTATTGAAATGTAATAACCTGCAACATAAGTGCATTTGGCAGTGGGGGGACGGCTCAACTTAATGGTGCTAAATTTAAAGCTCTGAGACATTAAGACAAAAATAATTTTTATTAATTTTCAAGATCCCGACATACCTTCCTGGATCTTCTGACTAAACTTCATTTTAGCTGCAGGCCCGTTGTCAACAACAATCTATTAAACAAAGTAAAGGATGCTTTAATTAATAACGTTATTACATGTATGGTTCCAGGGAAGCAGGTGTGCATTATAAATGACAAAGTAAGTTAGAGTTGTGACTCACAGTAGTTAAATGGAGAATAACAAGAAATATAGTTTGATTATAATGTAAACAAGGCCAGGTGAACAAAACTATTATTTTAAGTAATTTAATAGATTGGAAAATTCGTAATAATTGATTAGACAGACATGGTGAATTCAGGGCTTCTGATATTTCGTGAGGTCACGGAGTCATGAAATTCAGGTCAATCCACGAAATCCCGTGAAATTCACAAAACCCACAAATAGCATAAAATTTGCCAGTAATCTTATCAAATACATATCTGTACAACATATTTTGAAACTTTACTTGCAAGTTTACTTGCTGTAAACTTGCAAATT